GGGAAGGGGCCCCAGACGAGCCGCCCCTGCCTGTCAGCCCTGGCTTCCTCCTCCGGGCCTCAGAGGGACTGGGGACTGGGACCGGCTTAAGGAGCAGGGCCGCCCTTGGGCAAGGGACCGCCCCTCCCGTCGGCACTGGGAGCCCCGAGCTGGGATGGCAGTCCTGGCAGCGAGGTGCCCCTCAGGCCCTCTTTCAGGGAATCCAGGAAGCGGCCGGTGAGGAAGGCCTCGGTGTGAGGCACGTGTCCTGAGGTCGCAGACCCGCAGAGGCCCAGGCCAAGCCAGGAGTCAAGGTGGGGCTCCCGACCTCACCGTGTTCCCAGGGCTCTCCTACCCCACACAGCGGGTCCCCGTCGCCCAGGCCTCTGACGCCCCCTGTCCCCCCGGGCGCCAGGGCCCGCAGCACCCACCTCCTGCTGTTTCTCCTTCCCTCCAGCTGCTCAACAAGTCATGGCTGGTCCTCCCCCGAAGCGACGGCGCTACATGCCCGAGGAAGGCCTTCCGACCCTCACGGAGACCCAGGGCCTCGTGGGTGCACAGGACCCTGGGGCGGCAGAGGAGGTTGCTTCCTCCTCCTCCTCCAGGTCCTCCGCCTCCGCCGCGTCCTCCTCCTCCTCCTCCGCCGCCGCCATGTCCTCATCCCCCTCCTCCTCCCCCTCTTGCTTTTCTCATATCTCAGGCGGTGAGGAAGACGTTCCTATGGTTTCACCAACCCCGAGTCCGCTCCAGGGCCCTGAGCGTGCCTGCCCCTCCCCCACTGCCTCTGCCTCCGTGCCACCCACACAATCTGATGGTGGCTCCGGCAGCGCAATGGAGGTTGGTCTGGGCACTTCACAGGTCCTTAGTTCCTTTCCCAGTATCGTGATTCACGACAAGGCAGCTCAGCTGCTGGCCTTCCTGCTCCTCAAGTATGTTGCCATGGAGTCGACCACGAAGGCGGAGATGCTGGAGGTGCTGGGCCTGGATCACCAGGACCATTTCCCTGTGATCTTCAGCTGTGTCTCCGAGTGCTTGCAGCTGGCCTTTGGCATCGACGTGGAGGAAGGGGATCCCAGCGACCACTCCTACATGCTGGTCACAGCCCCGGGCCTCACCTACAGCTGGCAGCTGAGCTATGAGCAGAGCCTGCCCATGAGCAGCCTCCTGCTGTTTCTCCTGACCATAATCTTCATGGAGGGTGACTGGGCCCCTGAGGAAAAAGTGTGGGAGATGCTGGGTGTCATGGGGATGTGTCCCGGGAGGGAGCATGTCATCTTTGGGGACCCCAGGGAGCTCATCATCGGGGTGTGGGTGCAGGAGCAGTACCTGGAGTACCGGCAGGTGCCCGACAGCGATCCCGCTCGCTTCCACCTGCTCTGGGGCCCCAGGGCCCACGTGGAGGCCAACGTGATAGAAATCCTGGAGTTTTTGGCCAAGGTCAAAGAGAGCACCACTAATGCCTGTCTTACCTGGTATAAGGAGGATGTGAGAGGGTAGCATTGCCACCGCAGATGATGCTGCCACCGTGGCCGGTGCAAGTTCTAGTGTAATGTCCCCTGTTTTCTGCCCTGAGTGACGACAACGCAGCCTGTTCCCTCTGTGTTGTCAAAGGCCGGTCAGTGAATGAAGCGGAGGGCAAAGCTGGGGCAATTTATCTTCTTTTATTTTTGGTATTTTCAGGTGTTACTTGTTTTAGAGAGTTTCTTATCATCAGAATCGAATTGTAGATTGACATTGCTCACATATTTATTGCTGTTTATCTGGTTGATTAGAAGTAGCTTTGCTATTTTGTAAAACAAGATGGAAAACCTATCATATTCTTTGTAGCTTGTAATTTCCCATGACATTAGAATAAGAATTTCCTTGGAAATGGGAACAAATTTAGCAATGAAATAGAGAAATTAATTTAAATGGTTAATTTTTGTATTCTCTCATAATTATTAGTCTATAGTTGCATGAAAAAAGATATGTATCTAGATTTTCTTAGCTTGTTCAAGTATGTAGAAGAAATTAAATAGTAATAAATGACATTCCTGCTCCCTGGCTCATTTACTCTCCCAAATTCCCCGAGCCTCTGCTCACTGGAAGGACCTGTGTCAGCGGTGGGCCACTAGGTAAGCAGGACACCCACCTCACTCCACGCACCCACTTAGAGCGGTAGTCTAGGAGCTGGTGTCCTATGTGTAAGGTGGAAGGTGTGCCCCAGGACCACAGAACCTTTAGTAAAGGAAAGGGTGGGCACGCACGGCTGCAGGGGAGGGCATGCAGTCCCCATGCCCCGAGCTGGGCCATCTGCAGCTTCAGGCACTACCATTCCTCCTGTGGGATCCAGTGCATTGAGGCTGGGTGTGGGCAGAGCCAGCCTGGAAAATGGCAAGCTTAGGGGTGAGAGGCAAGGCTGAAATGCAACGTTGCTCTGATTAGTCCCTTTCGGGTCTCGGGCAAAGCTAGTGAGGTCTCCTCGGGGGCGACTACGGGGTTGCCCTGGGCTCTCGCCCCAGGGCCATTAAAGCCTGCCCCTGCTGCCCTAGGTGTCGCATATCTATCATCTGCAAGCATTTCTAGAGTCGTAAGGGTCCTGCCCTTGAAGTGATGCCCAGAAGTCAGTGGTCAGGCCCTTTTCTCCCCGGCCTGGGAGAGCTACAGCACATAGCATTAACTATGTCTCAATGTTAGTTACACTGCATTTAATTTAGCCACGTGTGATCCTGCCCTAGAGTTTGCATGGGGTTGAAATGAATCAAGATGTGGTTCCACTGGAAGAGGAGTATGAGGAAGGAGGCAGTTGGCCAGTGAATCTGTTCTTGGAGCTTTGGGCTGGCTGTATGCACTGGGGAAGTTTGACCACATGTTCCCTTATTGAGTATGTTTGTTGGCATTTTATTTCTGAAATGCTTTTTGGCTGACGAGCTCTTTCCGGTGCCATTAAGGTGCAAACTCTCTAGTCTGACCTGCATAATTTAGAAACAAAATCCCAGAGCAGAGTGGGAGGGCCTGGCATGCAAAGGACATCCTGCTTTCATCCAAGTTCCATCACGTGCCCGGCACTGTGCGAGGTGCTTTACGTGCGTCAGACAACCCTGCCGTCCTGCAGGCCAGAGCTTGTCTAAACCACTACTTCACACTCGGGGAACCCGGGCTCACAGGGCCTGGTCGTTTGTCCAGGATCACATGGCTGCATGACAGGGCGGAGACCAGACCCTGGTCTGAATTCTCATAGGGTCCCGCTCTTCCCACCCATCCCAGCCCGTGGCCGACCTTCTGACTGAGTTCATTTCTCAGTGGCAAGATGTCTGCCAGGAAGCACACAGAAGGATCCCGGGTACTGTCTGTGGGCGTTACTAACCTAGGCTCCTCGTACCCGAGTCCCAGGGTTCCTTGAGAGCTGAGGTGCTGGCATTTCCTCCCAGTCCCACGTGACGGCACCCTTCCCCTTGTCTTCCCCCAGGCACCCTCCCGTCCAACTCTGCGCCTTGACTGGCTTACCAGTGGCCCACTGCTGCCTCCAAAGTCTGTGCCCAATCCCAGGGGAGCAACCCGGCTTCACCCGCCTTCCCCAAAGAGGGCGTTCCTCCCCCCTGCGGAAGTGCTGGGCTGTCCCATCCCACTGCCCACACAGCCATATCCACAGCCACATCGAAGTTGACAGTGGCAGCAATGTTTAGACATCTGGTTGTACCCCTCGGTGTCTTTAACAATCTCTGCTTTCAGAATGAGCTGATGAGCAGGATCTCTTTGAGCACAGAATCTACCAGTTGCTTGGCTATGACCTGAAGTTAGAAATCAAGGTTTTTAAGCTGCCCCGATGCTTACCGCAGGATTTTGAAGGAGCGTCTTACTGGAAAACGGCCACCGAACGCATACGCAGGAGAAGGAGCTGACGTAGGTTGTCAAAGCCCAACGCCCTCCTTGCAAGTGGTAGATGAGCAAAGACCATGGAAGTCACTGTGGAGCAAAGTCTACAGACACAAAATCCCCCGAAACTTGGGGCCCCTAGTATCTTGGTAGACATGCTCCTCTCTCCAAAAACGAAAACCAGTTATTTATCCCTGCCCTGGTTTTGTCTGTGTGCCTGTCCCACGGGAAAGCTGTCCGGGTAGAAAATTCTCCTTGCAGCTCAGATGAGGAGGAAGGAGGAAGAACTTGGGGTGGAGGTGGAGGAGAGGAAAGGCGGGAGGCTGGGGGCATGTTTGGTCATGTGATGGCGAGCTTCCACCGGCCGTCTGTGTGGGGCTGTCTGGTGGGCAGCAGGGGACATGCTTCTGCTATCAGGAGAGGGGCCGGGGCTGGACGTTGGGTTCGGCTCCATCAGTAGGAGTCATTTGGGACCGTAGCCCTAAGTCAAATCAATTGAGTCCTGTGCCAACACTGGCCGACGCCCTACGGGATGCCAGCCCCTCTCCTGCCGACACATTTATCTGGGAGCCAAAATCACACAAAGCTTAATAAAATACTGATTTCATAAGACTGAAGCAATGTTTTCACAACAATGACCCACATTTCTTTAATCGACTATAATTCAACACATAGCTTCTAAGTTAACACATGCTTATTCACAAACTGAACATCATGTAAAAAGTACTATGATTCATTATTTTTGTTCATATTCTTCTGCTGCGGAAAATACATGCTCGGTTGTTAGCTATATCCTACATACTTCTTTTCTGCATTGACAACTGCTCCATTTTACACTGCTCCATTTTCATTCACATACTGTCCTAACAAAGTCATGAATGGTTTCTCTGATAATGATAAGATTTTATATTATACTTGTGCCTTAGGAATTTTCTTACTGCTGTAACATTTGTTCTTTATTTTGACACACAGCAATCCCTCATTTTTACCAAATGATTTTGATCCAAATATATGTCTATAGATTTTCTGTTATAAAAAGTGTGCACATAATTTATTTGCAATGGATAACCTTACAATATTTTTATTTCTCCATTTTAAAAATAGAGGATCACACTCTCCAAAAAAGAATGAAGTGGAAATAATACCATCATCTTAACCAACCCTGTTTTAACATATTTAACCATTGTTTTTTCCCCTTGCAAAATAGTAGCTGTTCCTTATTTTTGCATATTATCACCTTGTCCCTTTATGTGCATTTGCTATAGATCTAAATGGTTTCCTGGCTATTTCAAACTCTTAAACAATTACACATTACTACCAGATCATGACATTTATTTATGTATCTGATCATAATATGTGTTCTCTCATTTTAACCTTTACTAAAAACTCATGTATCATGTATCCCTTGCTCTATATATACAGTTTTTTATGTCTTAACAGTGCCCAAAATCATTGCTTCTCAATAACTTTAATAATGTATTGAGTATTTCGGTTTCTCTGCTCTTTCCAAAGGAACAGTTTTTGTGCCCATTGGTATTATTTATTACTTTCCTAATTTCAGTTTTATCAATTTCTGCTTTTATCTATGTAATTCCCATCATTCTGTTGCCTGGGGTTTAATTTACTTTTCTTTGTATAGTTTTTCAAGTGGAAGCTTAAGATTATCAATTTGAACTCTGTATAGGTTTCTAAGGATTTAATAACATAAATTTCTCTCTAAACACTGTTTTAACTCTCTAACCTGATTCCCATAAATTCTAATATGTTGCATTTTCATTTTCATTCATTTCAAAATATTTTCTAATTTCCATCAAGAACTTCTTTTGAATATGAGTTAGTCAAAATGTGTTTTTTAATTTTCAAATATTTGGGGAATGTGGAGAATCTCTTGTTTTCTTTAACTCTATTATAAGTAGAGAATACACTTGGCATGATTTAAGTTCTTTGACATTTGCTAAGGGCTATTTTATGGGCTATATTGGTGAATATTCCATGTGTACTTGAAAATAATGTACATTCTTCTGTAGTGCAGAGTGTTCTGCAAATGCCAAAGAGATGAAGTTGTTTGATTGTGTTGTTTGGATTCTTCAATATCCTTGCATATTTTCTGTCCACTCTTCTATCATTTACTGATAGGAGTGACACAGTCTCCACATGTGATTGTAGAAGTGACTTTTTCCTTTAGTCCTATCAGTTTTTGCTTCACATGTTTTGAATATCTACTTTCATTGGCATTGGCACTTAGGATTGTTATAATTTCTTGATGAATCCTTAAAAATGTTATGTTATGTTCCAGTTTATCCATGAGAATTTTTCTTCTAATAAAATCAGTTTTTTTTCTGATATCAATGCACTCTCCAGCATTTTTATTTCTTATTTTAATATTTTAAATTGTTAAACATTAAAACTACCTTTTTATTCTGGTGTATGGTTAATGCCTGTGTATAGATTCATGGAACCACAAGCGCAATCAGGATTCAAACTTAGTTCCATAACTGTCCACACACATGCAAACTCCCAAGTGCTAATTCCTTTATGGTCTTACCCTCCTCTTATATCTAACTTTAACAAAACTCAACTGTCCTCCATCACTGTAAATTTGTCTTTTTATGAGCACCACAAAAATGGAAGGTTTTTGTATG